CTTCTCTCCTCCTTCCTTATCAAATCTGACAGTACACGGCAGCCAAGCAGACAAACAAGAGTGGACTAGTTGTGGAGTCTTTGGTAATGAATAGATCTGTATTTGACCCACAAATTCTATTTGTAATTAACCAGCTGGGAGCTATAATCGCAATTTTCCAGAGGCCTGGCTGCTGTCAGGTAGTCGCCGTCTGTGTGCGCAGAGGGAGGATTAGAGGTGGTGTTTGAAGGTGCTGCTTGGGGAAAAAGCAAGCTGTTATTCTAATGGGGCACAGCTGAGACCTGTGCTGTTCAGCAGTCACAAGGGACCACCGAGGCTGGTTTTCAGCCTTCCTACAGAACCGTGTGTTCAACAGAAAGGCACTTGCTATGCAAAATCTTTGCTCCCGCAGACAGAATGCCCTCAGAGAGGAGCAAGTGGGACTTCTCAGGAAGAGAGTCGGGGTTACAGTCTAAGTAACTTCTCCACTCATATTTATCTGATAAAATTAACAACTGAAGTTTTTAGAGCAAAAAGGAAGGGGACTTAATTATAATTCCAGTAACTCGGTAGGGAGCCCAAATAATGATTGCAGAGGATGTAAGCTGTGCGATGTTTGCGCTGCAGCCCTACTAAGACCCCAGGAGATCCTGAAAACAAAGAGAGAAAGGAGGGCACTGGAGGTCCTGTCAGCTGTTTTGAAAGGATACCATCCTCTAGCTGGTCTGTCAAGTCACTCACTGGTGAGCTTTACCTGTGGTATTGCAGAAGGTCCATCTAAGGTCCATCTGGCTGCTCATTCCAGGACATGTGGGCAAGTGACCCTGAGGCATATCATGTGTCACCTCTGCATACCTGCCTTCTTATATTGGGCTTTTTGGTGGCTCATCCTGTGCGAAGAACTGGGGTGTCTGGATCCAGGTACAAAACATCCTTAGGCAACCTCCTCCCAAACAAGTAACCTGCTTTTAGGTCCCAATTCAAGGAGGAAACAAAGTGTTTCCTACCTGGAAAAGAGGGCAGGAGGGCTGCTGCCGCTGTAGCCTCGTCCAGCACTAATTGCTGGTTGTTGAAATGAGCTGGTGCTGGTGGTTTCCTGTGGGCAAGGAAGCTGTGGGGCTGTGTTAAGCCATAAATATGAAGGCTGGGACTCAACATCAGACTGTAAGAGAGCTGCATACTGCTTTTACTGCTTTCCTGAACTACCACTTCCTTTTTTTTAACCAAAAACTTTAAAATGACGTTACTAACAAAAATGAATGCACCTTAATTGTATCCTTATGGTTTTTCCCAAGAAAGTTTTAAGTTTTAAAGGGAGCACTAACAGCATGCCTGTTTGCTCTGGGAAGAGGAGTTGGGTGTTTACACCGAGGAACCGTGCTTGGAGCTCAGCAGTAGGTAGGAGATGGAACTCAAGATGCATTGAAATCCAAGCTCCTTGACCCACCCGCATACAAGTGCAAAATCACTTTTATTGTTGGAGTTGTTAAACGCAGTAGATATGATTTATTTTTGTTGGATTTTTTTAGGGTTTTTTTGATGCTTCTTTAGTTTTACTAATGCTTCTTTAGTTTTACTAATGCTTTTTTAACACTTTTTTTTCTTTTCTCTCTGACTTCAGCCATTGATGGATTTCTAAAAACCGATGAAAGACAAAGACTGGCAAAGGAGAGAAGAGAAGAAAGGGAGAAATACCTTGGTAAGATGGCAGGAGGTGTATGTATTATTTATGTATATGTGTTAATAGGCTTAAGTTACCAACATGACATTTTTTCTGTTCTGAATTTTAAACGTTGTGGTGCAGTCTGTTCCTATTCTTTATCCCTTATACTACTACTTTTAAATTAAATTATAATAAATAAATTAATCTGTGTGTTCTTTGATTTCCATTTGAGTATTTATTATTTTGTAGTTACAAATTGACTTTCTTCTTTGATTTATGTACTTTTGAATATAGGTTTATGTGCAAGATATTGACTGCTAGGATTCTGATTTGTAAAAATACCAAATAAGCCTTGAATAATACTCAGGATGATATGTAGGATGATCTGGTGAAACAGTATGAGTTTTAGTCTATTAAGTTATAGCCATATTAAGAGAGAGGGATTTGTTAATCATGGCATAAAGCAGATACTTTTCCATAGGTTTTTAAATGATTACTCTTTCAAGTGAATGAGAAAAATTATTAGTTCATTTCCTGAATAACATAAACATTGATCTCAGAGTTTTTTAAATAGTCGGTTGTTTTTAATCTACTAATACCTCCAGGGAAATGTGGAGGAAATTGCTATATATATAATATATATAAAAATGTATAATAGATACACAAAGACATGTATATAAGGTCTGTGTATATGCAGTTAATTTCATTTATATATATGAATGAAATTAACTGTTCAACATTGTTTTAGATTTTTCTATATATACATATATGTATATTAAAAATGTTGAACAGTTAACTTCATTTTTCCTGATTGTAATAACAAGAAAGGCCAGTAGCACTGTTCCTTAAGGTTACCTGACAACACCTATCAGAAGAAACTGTCAGTGTTAAATGATTTTGTAAAATTTAGGCTAGGCATATCTTTTGCAGAAATGTCAACTAAAACAGCGTGGGCATCTGTGAGAAGAATGTTTTTCTTGCAATAAATAAATCAAACAAACTGTTGACCATATCTTGATGAAACCAGAGGCTAGAGACCAATGATTTGACATTTTTAGTACCTTGGGTTTGATGAGCAAGATTCCTTTTGGTAGTTCCTGTGAAAATCTGCTGGTGTTTAGTACTTAATTTCTCCAGAGGTTCTGTCTGCATGGGGCATGCACCAGCCTGAGTCGTAGCTTACAACTCTTCCAGGTATACTCAGTCCAGACTATCTCTTCTGTCTTCTTGATTATCCTTTCTTTGCTGGCTCCTGAGAAGTGACATGATGAGTAGATTGGAAAGGACTTGAATTAAAAAGCAGAAGAGGAGATGAGAAGGGAACTGAAAGCTGGAAAATCTGGGAGTGGTTGGCCCAGGGAACTTGGAAGGTGTTCTTTTCTCCAAACATCCTACATGCCTTCTGGAAACATACTTTTTTAGGGTTAAAACTATTTCTAGAATAGGGAGCTCTGGGTTTTGGTCACAGTTTGTCTGTGGCAAATTTATTTTAAAAGTTCAGAAAAAAGCAGCGAGTTCCCCAGGAGGACAGATCTGTATGCAGCCAGCAGGTACTTTGCAGCAATATGGAATAAACTTTTTACCAAAGCCAAAACGGACAGATCTGTATGCAGCCAGCAGGTACTTCGCAGCAATGTGGAATAAACTTTTAACCAAAGCCAAAACTCATTAATCAGTGTTTTAGCATCCCTAAATTAAGGAACAAGGATTGTATGTATGTCCATGATGACATGGTTTGCTTCTCTGTCCAGAATCAGTCCCAGGTTTCACCTACTTACTCAGAAGGTAATCTTAGCACAAGACCTGGACATGTCACTTTATTTTTGGTTTTTACCAACTCCAGCATGCTGTTTTCACCTGCTCTACCTGACATGACTAGTAGTCATTAACATTGAGTGACTGGTCACTTGTCTTTGCTGTCTCTGAGGGAACTCTTTATCTGTTGACAAGTCAGATTCTTCAGGCGTACAAGTCCAGGCTCAGCTGCAGCACTGACACCCCTCTCGTACTGCCCCGTTCTGGGTGGGGGGAGGAATAGTGAATTTTCATAAGGCAAAGGGAGAAGACAACAGTATTTCTAACAAGAATAAGGTAAAACATGTTCTGTAAACCAGGTTGAATGTGAGGAAGAAGTATTTTGGGGGGATCCAGTACTCAAGAGAAAGAAATGCAACTGTTGGAAAAGGATCTGGTGTTAGGGGGACTTTGGCTCTAAAGCAAAGGCTTGAGGGTGGAGTGGGGCTAAGAGGGACTGAAGGTCAGGCTGTGGTTAAAGAGCCTGGGGAGCAGAGGGAGAAGGCTGATCTGAGGAAAGGGAACTGAGGTGGCTGGGCAAGAGCCTAAGACCGAGGGGAAGATACCGAGAGAGAGTTAGAAGGGTGAAAGTTTGCTGTACAAGGAAACAGGAACTGAGAAAGCAGAGTGAGGCTGAGTAGGTGAGCAGGATGAAGGACGAGCTCTTGTATAAACAGTGTTAATTCTGGCTTTCCCTAACTTTCAAGTTCTTAGCCTGGCAACTGTGAGAATATTCCTTCTTTGATATCAGCTGTATGTGTCTTGGTATGTGACATTACAGGCTTGTGTGTATGTAGGCATGCTTACTGAACTCCTCTTTCCTGCCTTTTTATGGAATACACTTGCATGAGAAGTGGATTTTTCCTCATGATTTGTCACATTAACTTCTGCTACTTGTTCTCCTATGGAAATGTGAAGCAACAGTCCTGTATGTAATGTTGCAGTCTGAATTTCTGTAGCAAGCTGATGTGTCAAGAAGAAGATTATGACTCCAGTTGGGCAAACCCTCAGTAACAGAAGTAACATTTTTTCATGCAGAAGGATAACAATGTAGCACCAAATTACGAACAGAATGGTGTATTTTCAAAGTTTCATTAAAAATTCACTGTATGTTGTTTTCTTGTGTCTATTTTGAAGGCAGCCCCATAATGAGAAGCACAGTTTTAAAGAAATTCCAAGGACTTTTGCTTCAACATGTATAACTGATTCACTTTAAAACCTAGTGGGAACATTTTTTGTCTGAAAAAAAGAATTTGGCTTTAAGCTTCAGAGGGATTTGAAACGTAAACAAAAATAGCATACAGAATAGTTAACAACTATTTTTACATAGGTAAGGGGCACAAATTGTCACCTTGTGTACAAAGGAATTCCCGATTTATTTACTGAGCAAATCACTTAGATTTACTAATCATTCCAGCACTTTGTGCACTATGTTTTTATCTCAGTGGATGAAAACCCTGTGTACTTGTGTTTGTTTTTTGATTCTCTTGTGTTGTGTTATTAAATAATTTTAAAGCAGGAGAAAATTTGCATAAAGTGAAACGCACCTTCTTCTCTGCCTTAGCTGCTAGGGAACAGCAGATACTGGAAAAGGAGAGAAGAGCAAAACTTCAATATGAAAAGCAAATGGAAGAGCGGTGGAGAAGACTGGAGGAACAGAGGCAGAGAGAGGAGCAGAAGAGAGCAGCTGTTGAAGAAAAACGGAGACAAAAGCTTAAAGAGGAGGAGGTAAGGTATGCTGGGAGATGTATGGCAGAGTAACTATACAGTAGCATTAAACAGCTGAATATTGACATGCATTAAATGTTGATTTCGGTTTTTTTGGTCCAGAGACACGGGCATTACTTTGGGAACTGCAACTGCATGGTCACCACAGCTATAAATACTTTACTACCGCTTCTACATCAAAAACATTTTCCAAAGCTTTTTTGTCTCTTGATTTTTGTCTGATCTCACAGAATAGTCATCTACTTCTGGTCACATATCTGGGACACTAACTGTCAAATGATGAAGCACCAGCTTTCCAGCAAGTAGCTTTTAAAGATGAATGATTCCATAAAATGGCCAGATTTTTCATACTGTTTTGTTTCCTGTCCATGAGACTGAACTAATATTTATGAAAATGTTTTGGTTTTCCTCAGTAACATAAAATTAGAAGTTCTTACTTAAAGCAGTGCAGAATCTAGGCTGGTTTAAAATTCAGGCTCAGAACAGAATTAATCACGTATCTTTTGAAGCATCTTCATAGCCTTCCTCTCTTCTACTCTCCCTGCTGAGATCATTTAAGGTTCTTTCTTGCTCTAGTGAGTCCAATTTCTGATGCAGATCTCTGAATGCAGTGTGTGTGTGTCTCTCCACATGACATTCTGTAGAAAACACTAGCACTGCTGCAACTGATAAAGAATTAATGATTTTTGGAAAAGGGGGCAGTGGTTTAAAAAAAATACGAAGGAAGATATTTCCCTCGCTCCTAGATAAAAAGGCTCTAGAATTCTGCATTTATTAACCTTCCTTTTTTTCTGCCCCCCATCTTTTGATCAAAATATCTTTGCAAAAGAGGTAAAACACTCCTGTATGGCATCAGAATAACGTCCTGCTGTCCACTGAAATTTTTTTGTTGTTTGATTTTTCACTTAAATCTGAAGAGAAGATTATATCCTGCCATTCCTCTTTCTACTGTAACGTATACTGATAGTGGCTTCTGCGTAATAGCTGAGAATTCACTTTAAAATATTTTGTCATGTCTTTTGTTTCAGACTTCAGTAAGAAAAATGGTAAATACTGAAATAAAAGGTAGGAGGTCTATCTCCTCCTGTGGTAACATCATTGACCTGATATGCTCCTTTCCCAATATTTCCTGCTGTAATAACCTCTTGTAGCTAAGCAAAATTGATCCTCTTTATGGGGATTGTAGGGGAAAGTGCCAAGTACAAAAACTTCCAAAATCCTTTCCTCATAATTTACACAAGAGGTAGGGGAGGGACAGGAGAGGGGAGAGGTATGGGAAGAGAGGGCAACTGCCTGCTTTACCTGCCTCTATGGTTTGCCTATGCTGGGGAAATGAGAGCAGTGTTGCCAGACATAAGAGAGGCTGTGCCAGGTCAGACCCAAAGGGTCTGTTCAGTGGGGGCCCCATCTCCTGTAGTGGCCACCAGAGGTGGACATAAGAGGCTGAGCACACAGTGATGTTTCTTCCAAACATCAGCAAGCCTATTATAGCTCCCCAGCATCCCATACATGTGATGAGAAACTTCTCTAATGGTGCAAGAAGGCATTTTTTGTCTGAAAAAAAGAATTTGGCTTTAAGCTTCAGAGGGATTTGAAACGTAAACAAAAATAGTTGTTAACTATTCTGTATGCTATTTTTACATAGGTAAGGGGCACAAATTGTCACCTTGTGTACAAAGGACTTCCCGATTTATTTACTGAGCAAATCACTTAGATTTACTAATCATTCCAGCACTCTGTGCACTATGTTTTTATCTCAGTGGACAAAAACCCTGTGTACTTGTATTTGTTTTTTGACTCTCTTGTGTTGTGTTATTAAATAATTTTAAAGCAGGAGAAAATTTGCATAAAGTGAAACGCACCTTCTTCTCTGCCTTAGCTGCTAGGGAACAGCAGATACTGGAAAAGGAGAGAAGAGCAAAACTTCAATATGAAAAGCAAATGGAAGAGCGGTGGAGAAGACTGGAGGAACAGAGGCAGAGAGAGGAGCAGAAGAGAGCAGCTGTTGAAGAAAAACGGAGACAAAAGCTTAAAGAGGAGGAGGTAAGGTATGCTGGGAGATGTATGGCAGAGTAACTATACAGTAGCATTAAACAGCTGAATATTGACATGCATTAAATGTTGATTTCGGTTTTTTTGGTCCAGAGACACGGGCATTACTTTGGGAACTGCAACTGCATGGTCACCACAGCTATAAATACTTTACTACCGCTTGTACATCAAAAACATTTTCCAAAGCTTTTTTGTCTCTCGATTTTTGTCTGATCTCACAGAATAGTCATCTACTTCTGGTCACATATCTGGGACACTAACTGTCAGATGACGAAGCACCAGCTTTCCAGCAAGTAGCTTTTAAAGATGAATGCATAAAATGGCAAGATTTTTCTTACTGTTTTGATTTCTGTCCATGAGACTGAACTAATGTTTATGAAAATGTTTTGGTTTTCCTCAGTAACATAAAATTAGAAGTTCTTACTTAAAGCAGTGCAGAATCTAGGCTGGTTTAAAATTCAGGCTCAGAACAGAATTAATCACGTATCTTTTGAAGCATCTTCATAGCCTTCCTCTCTTCTACTCTCCCTGCTGAGATCATTTAAGGTTCTTTCTTGCTCTAGTGAGTCCAATTTCTGATGCAGATCTCTGAATGCAGTGTGTGTGTGTCTCTCCACATGACATTCTGTAGAAAACACTAGCACTGCTGCAACTGATAAAGAATTAATGATTTTTGGAAAAGGGGGCAGTGGTTTAAAAAAAATACGAAGGAAGATATTTCCCTCGCTCCTAGATAAAAAGGCTCTAGAATTCTGCATTTATTAACCTTCCTTTTTTTCTGCCCCCCATCTTTTGATCAAAATATCTTTGCAAAAGAGGTAAAACACTCCTGTATGGCATCAGAATAACGTCCTGCTGTCCACTAAAATTTTTTTGTTGTTTGATTTTTCACTTAAATCTGAAGAGATGATTATATCCTGCCATTCCTCTTTCTACTGTAACGTATACTGATAGTGGCTTCTGCGTAATAGCTGAGAATTCACTTTAAAATATTTTGTCATGTCTTTTGTTTCAGACTTCAGTAAGAAAAATGGTAAATACTGAAATAAAAGGTAGGAGGTCTATCTCCTCCTGTGGTAACATCATTGACCTGATATGCTCCTTTCCCAATATTTCCTGCTGTAATAACCTCTTGTAGCTAAGCAAAATTGATCCTCTTTATGGGGATTGTAGGGGAAAGTGCCAAGTACAAAAACTTCCAAAATCCTTTCCTCATAATTTACACAAGAGGTAGGGGAGGGACAGGAGAGGGGAGAGGTATGGGAAGAGAGGGCAACTGCCTGCTTTACCTGCCTCTATGGTTTGCCTATGCTGGGGAAATGAGAGCAGTGTTGCCAGACATAAGAGAGGCTGTGCCAGGTCAGACCCAAAGGGTCTGTTCAGTGGGGGCCCCATCTCCTGTAGTGGCCACCAGAGGTGGACATAAGAGGCTGAGCACACAGTGATGTTTCTTCCAAACATCAGCAAGCCTATTATAGCTCCCCAGCATCCCATACATGTGATGAGAAACTTCTCTAATGGTGCAAGAAGGGCTGCCTCCAAGTGTTTGGTCATGATGGAATACTACTCCTAGCTCTGCTCGCTGAGCTGGTCCTTCAAGCTTAAATTGTCCAAAGCCTTTTGGGATCCAAGGCAGGCCCAAGCCTGGCTCCTTTTCCTTTCCTTTTCTCCCTTCCCCTACCCTCAGGTTGAGGAACCTGAGAGAAGGCTATGAAGGGAGGAGGACAGGAGAAGAGAGGATGCTTGTTTGTTTGGGGATGGATTAGACCTGGTGGGAGGAGCCTCTGAAGGAAGGGAGGCTGCATAGGGGAATAATCTTTAGAACAGGGGAGTATAAGGGAAGAAGGAAATTGGGGTAAAGGAGACACCACCACTTCATGACTTCATGTTTATTTGTCATCCTGGAATAATCTTTAGAACAGGGGAGTATAAGGAAGAAGGAAATTGGGTAAAGGAGACACCACCACTTCCTGACTTCCCTTCATGTTTACTTGTCATCCCCTCATTTCTCAAATTCCACTTGAATTCTGCTAAAGGATCTGCCAAATCCCGCCCCTCCAGCTCTTTTGATGATGCCACCAAACCCTGTATGCATACTAGCAGTGGACGTCCGAGAAAGGATGGTGATGAAGCTGCAACTCTCTGGGCATTGCAGGTTGCTCATTGCTCGTGAGTCACTCTGGACAGTTGAGGCCACCTTTACTGGAAGAGCTTCAAACCCGTATTTTCCACACCCGTGTGTGTGTGTTGGGGGTTGTGCCTTGGCCAGTGAGCCAGTGTGCTGCAGCATGTCCGCGGTGTTTTTCCTTTTAACACTGGTTTACACTCTCTGGGGACTGGAGCACCCATTTAACCTGCTCATCAGGTGTGCCAAGTAGACAGATTCTCTTCCTTGCTCTCTGCCTTATTGGTTGCTCTTTATATCTTCCTTAAGTCTTTTTTCCTTGGTTTTTAACACAGCAGAAGGCAGAGCGTATTTGTGATAGGAACAGATTATATAAATCTCTCTAGAGAATACTGTGTTGTATCTGTAAGAGTTTGAGATGAATGGCTCTTAACAGACTGTGAGGACTTGTTGGCTTCCTACATCAGAGCATCCTCTGCTTGACTGTTTTGCATGCAAAGGATTTCTCAAAGAGGAGGAAGCTAAAATTTGGTTTATTTTGCTTTCTTTCTCCCCTCTACAGTGCCAGATAAGGGATTGTGGTTTTAACGTCTGTGTTGATGGGAATAGAGGTTTTCTGGCAGGGTTCTCTGGGGTAGCTGGAGATTGTTGCAGAGCACAGTGGAAGTATGTCCAATTCCTCAGAGAGGAACCGAATAAATGTGTCTTAAAATTGTCCTGTCTATACTGACTGCACTTTTCTAATCTGTGGAGGTCCTCAGTAGCACTGCCCTTCCCTCCATGTTACTTTTAAAGCTGCCCACTTCCTTTAGTAAAAGTAGTCACTGAGCCCTGAAGAAAGAAGCATGCTGTTGTTCAACAGAAGCTATTAAAGAGTCCCTTTTAATAGCAAGTAGCCCGTAGCTTTGGGACTGGATAACAGCAAAGCTAGTCCTTGAGTAGTTAAAGTAATTTTTTCCCTTTCCATATATTGAACTTCCATGTGACTTGGAAATACCTTGCAAATAAATGTCTAGCTGCACACAGGGTATTGGGAAGTCTCCACAGAAGCTATGTTCTTCTACTGCTCTTGTACAGTCACATCAAGGATGGTAGTGCAAATAAGAGGAATAACATCCATCGAGTCAAA